TGTGCATGCTGCTACCATCTAAACACATAGCGTTGTGCATGCGTATGCACACTGTAAACTTTGAAATTGCATTTCTAAAAATAGCCGGTCAGTAATACTTACTGTACCCTCATCCACAGTAAGAAACACATCGGTCCACAGAATGGAGTTTGAAATTCCACTTCATAAGAGCGAGACAATAGTGCTCCAGTTCTTCTCTCATTCAGTATGAAAGCATTGTATTGTGTTTTCCAGAAAACCTAGATAGCTGTTTCATAAAAGAAAAGAGAGTGGGAACGAAGTAATACAAAACTGTGTGATTGCTGACTCCGCTGCTGATAAAAATAGGGATTTGTACCGAGCCGGACATGTCCAAGGCCCACCCTCTCGGGGATAATCATGACATTTACAGTGTCTTTTTTTTTTTCACAGCCTGCTGCTTGCCTTTTAAGACTAACTATTATGTCTCTCCTAGAATTTGAAGGCAGATAAAACATTGTTTATTTTCTTTGGGTGTTACGTAGTCAGTTCTGGCGAGGACATTTCAATATTCAGAGATCAATATCTGGCAACCTTGGGTTTCGGGACCCAAGGAATTCAATTCATAAAGAAATTCCTAATAAAATTTTGTAAAATATGTTTAAAACACATATAAGTATTCTTGAATTTTCATGAATATAAATTGAGTTCATATAACATGCAGCATATATAAATATCTGAGCTGGTATGTTTTTTTCGATTGGAGGCTGCGATCACGTGACACGTCTCTGGGGTCACCGGAAATTTGTGATGTCAAAATGGGGTCACAAGACAAAAAAAAAAAAAATCAGCATCACCCTCCTACTACAGCATGACATCATCACACGTCCCAAACGTTGTGATTATTTAACAGAAACAGTGACATAGCTATAGCATGAGGAGGATGGCAGAAATAGCAATTATTGAAAGGCATGACAAATATGTATTTTGTCTCTTATTATAAAGGTATTTCTAGGATTATATATACCATCCAAGAGTATGCATAAATCAATTTAAATTAATTAGTATTTATGTGACATGCCGAAGGACGAGATCCACTTTCGATGCAGTCTCTGCACCTAACCTTTTTAAGAACGTTGCACTCCAGGAGGCTTCCGGCTGTGTTGCATGCAAAAGTTGTGCACTTAACCTTTACAGTATTGAATAAAAGTTCAGTGTTGACACTTGGTTGCCGATTTTCATTCGAAGCCTTTTGTTGAGTCAGACCAGACCAGTTCAGACCAGAGCCTCGATTGTGTCCCTGCACCCACTGTACGCCGCCAAACAAAGGCGCTGATGGACTCACGTGTCTGTTTCATCCTCGGAGGCTGAGCCCTGCCAAACACACTTTGAAGTAACCACAATGACCTCGGTTCCCGGTAAAACCCAGACCCTTTTTTGAGTGACAGTCTGGTTTGTTATTATGTGTGGTAAGTAGGGTAGAATTGTAAGCGCGGCGACTTCAGCGGCGGCCGTCCTGCAGTTTTTATGCCGTGGCTTTTAAAGAGCTTTTAGCAGACTTTCTTCAGGGCAGGACCGAGTGAGGAGGGCATTGTGTTCCAACTATGACGAACAGCAGGAACATGGAACTCAATAAAATCAGATTAATGAACCCTGGCTCTATTCAGTGAAATAAAGGATTCACGCTAGATTGCGCACAGTGAGTGCAGTGGGACCGCAGCACAAACTGTATTCTCCTTAATGCACAAGTGACAGATGTAAAAATTACTTAAATTTGACGGCAATATATTTCACTCATAGTTATGTTTGCTTTTTGAATTTTAGTAAACTGAAAAGAAATACATCTACGGTCTAAGTCTAAGGGCATTTTGGTAAAACGTATGTTTTGAATGCATCGGATCTTCACTCCTGGGCTTTTCATGGAAGTGCACTTTGACTGAAGCCGGGTTTACAGCAGGGGTTTCAAACTCAAATTGCCCCTGCCATCTCATTGAAAGTCAAATAAAGGCCAGCATACGGGCCAGTAAATAACAACAAGAGGTCAGGTTACATAATACTGACTTCCATTTGCAGACCACATGTGGGTAGTAGAGGCAGGACAAAGGTGGCCCGCAGCCTGGGAGCTTGAGATTCCTGACTATCTATCCATCCATCCCACCATCCTACCATCTATCTATCTATCTATCTATCTATCTATCTATCTATCTATCTATCTATCTATCTATCTATCTATCTATCTATCTATCTATCCTTCCATCCACCCATCTCTAATTGTCAGATTTTTGTGGTTTAAAATGACTTGGTTTAAAATCTCTCCATATCATAACTTTGTTTTTAGTCAAGACTGGAAGACGTGTGGACATGTCCCCTGGACTGCCCTCTTTGTCTTAGTCTTCATCTCAGTTGCGAATGATGTCATTAGATGAGAGTTGAAGCATTGTATTGTAAATCAGCCCACTCTTGGACACAGCCCACGGATCACTGCAGGATCGAAGCCTAAATCATGTCACCTCGAACCAAAGGAAATAACTTGAACCAAATTGGAATGAAAACTTCGAGCTGTCGAAATGACTCGGCGCTCGCCACTGGCCCTTAATTATTCTTTTAAATCATAAAACATCTCAGTCTGAACTCGTAGCCGGTGGCAGGTGAAATTTAAATGGGGGCCTGATGTCAGTTGGCTGAGGCATATGTTGGCGGTATAAAAGACAGAAGGTATAATCCCTCTGTGAGGAGGAGCTCGGAGCTTAATTGATGAGATCAGACTAGACTTAAAGGGCTGTTAGATGTAAAAAGCCCTGGAACGGCAGCATCCCTGATGAGAACCCTCAAGGCCCTGCAGTTGTTTGCAGACGTCGTCAAACAGACGGCGTGCTGCTACAGCCGTAAGTTTAACTTTTATCAGTCATTTAGAAAATTCAAAGTGAAAACACACGTGGTGGAAAATACCGGAACGAAATGGAAAATCTTCTGCTTTTTAGACCTGAAATGATCCAGAAAATACTTTGTTCTTCATTAGAGTCAATTGACCTTTGATCCCTGTGTCAGTATTTTAATTTTAGTACAGTCTTTACTCTCTAGCTTGTGAATATCTTCAGGCTAAGGTCACACTGTGAGGAATGTCAAACAGTGTATAAACGGTGTCAATTGCATTTCAGTATTATGCTAATTAGAGCACTGGTTCTTAACCTTTTCTGCAGCGCCCTCTTCTGTAGATAAATTACAGATTATTGAATTGGTACAAAAAAAAAATCATTCCACCTGCATTGCCCTCCTGCAATGACTCGCCACCCCACAAGAGGCGCTACATGTTCAAATAGATTAAAAAAGGCTTAAAAGACGAGACATTAAATAATTATTATAATTAGCTCCCAAAAAAATGTTGTCTTATGGAGCAGCAAGTTCAAATGTTTATGAGTACTTCAGAAACAGATATAATACAGGGTGCCAAACATACGGCCCGTGGGCCAAAACTGGCCTGCTAGGGGTTGTTCAATCCGGCCAGCTGAACTTTGAAAGTGAAAAAACTGCACAAACTCTTCATTTTCAGGGATGTTTTTTCAAATTATATTTCATCACATATGCATATTGTCTTATATACTTGTACATATTTACAGGAAAGTAAAGGGGAAAAAAATAGACTTACTGTTATTTATAGGTAATTATGTTATGATTGTACTGGTCCGGCCCACTTGTCATCTAATCAGGCTCTATGTGACCCTTGTTGGACCCTTCATTGACGTATGACTGAGGCTCTGTAAATGTTTAGTCCTGAATTTCAGCTGCCGATGTAAAACAAAAAAAAAAAAAAACGAATTAAAACTAATGAAACTGCAAATACTCTTTGCAGTACCACTGCACCTTCGTAACGGATGAATCTGTCAGCGTGAAAGTAATGCAAAAAAAAACGACACACTTTAATTAAAAAACTTTGTTCGGAGTCATGTGAACAGAAGGCGAGTGTATGAGACAGCAGGCATGGAAAACCACATTTATTCTTAATACGCCAATGAGTATTTGAACCAGCGGAAATAGGAGTAATATTAAATATTGACCGCGGGCGTTTAAGAGCTATGAAATATATGTGAGGATATTAAAATGATTTCTTTGTGAGTTTGCTCAAAGACCCACACACATCACTGTGCGTTAACACAAACGGGCAGAGCTACATAACCAGAGAACAGGAGGCAGACAGCGCCTCCGCACTCAAGCAGTTGACTCAGGTCCCAGCCGGTCAGGTGAGCGCGCAGACGAGAACCAGCCTCGTGCTCTTTCCCCTCAGAGTTCATTATATGGTCACACCTCCCGACTTCCTGTGCTCTTGGCTCACACATGAGTCACCGTGGTCTTGCGGACGCAATCTCTGCGTCCATTCATTATTCCTCTCATAAATATGGAATCGTTCAGACCTCATTGAGTTCGTTCGCCGTAACGTGAGCAGTGAAATCTCTCCTGACCACGGCCAGCTTTACTTACCAGGTGAGAGCACTTTATCCTCCTCGCTCTGCGCCGCACCAGACCCACTCCATAAATCACGGGCCAGCACTCCGCCTTTATTCGGCAGCCGTAGAGACTCCAACGTCAGCACCTTGGGGATAAATTGCCATGATTCAGCAAAGGTTCCAGCTCAAAGAGTCAAGCTCTGCCTTTCTATTTTTAGGACTTACACATATGTGACAAAATCCTCAAAATGTTTACACAGATGTCGACAAGTCGACCGCTTCCTTTAATATGTAATCCTTTAAGTGAATAATTGAAAAGGGGAAAATGCACAGACGTCATCTATAATACAAAGAGTAGAAAGTAACAGGAGACGCAGCCGTGTACTAGGATTGTTTTCACCAAGAGCGCTGCGTCAAGTCCGGGTTTAGGTCCATGCTCAAACTTGTAAGGTACAAATTCCAACCTGAGAAAAGTTGGTCGAAAATGAAAAAGAACTTCCTCTGCGGTATTATTGGTCCACAGACCGACAGATTTCTTGGTGCAAAAAAGGTTAGGGACCGTGGTTTTAAACATTTATTTCATTTCTTTTTCTTCACTAGGGGCACCAAAAGCACAACCCCCACCACTAGCATTGGGGGATTTTACCCCAGGACCTACTATATGTCAGGTAAGAACTCACTGTCATTCCCATTGTTTTATTTCATAATAATAATTTCTGATAAATACAGCTTGAAGAGCATTACCACTCTGAGAAATTAGTGCGACCAAAATGTCATGCAACTTTCAGATTTTTTTTTTCCGACCACTATTAATGTCACAGACACAGTCAGTCTCACCATATTAACCATTAATGGATTCAAGGATGACATCACAAATGGGATCAATCGGTGCACCGCAGTGATTTTCCCCTGTTTTCTCAATCAGCACTTAATGAATGAATAGTGTCTGCACTGAAAGCATTATTCAGTGTTCTCATTTGATGGGCCTTGCCAGACTTGATTCATTAAAGACTCTAAGCGGAGCTGGTAATGCACTTCGCGGTCCGATGAAGCGTTGGCGTCGACACTGAAGCCGACTCTTGGATTATCGCACAACTTTTTCAGCTTAAAACAACAAAATCCTCCCGAGCAGCAAACATTTCTTCAGCTAGTTCTAACGACATCTATTAATAATATAACAGAGAGAATGTATTGCAGTTGACATAGGTTCAAATTCGAAGCAGTTTTTCGAAGACCTTCTGCTCGATGTTTCTTCATTTGTTTGTAGAGACCCGGCGGGAGAAAAAAAAAAATCGTTTTCCTCATTTACTGATGACAGTGTTGCCACTTTTAGAAAGTGCAAAGTGTCCAGTACATAAAACAAAAATAGTACCGACTTACAGTCTTTGAGTCATCCAAGGGTTGAAGTTATTAAATCCTGAACTCCAGCCAACTCCTTGTACAAAAAATATTCTCTTCGTTGATCAAGCAAAACTCATTTTAATACCAGAACCTCGTTTTATATGCACATCAAGCCCATGCACCATGTTACAACGTGGCACAAACGTAGACCTACACTCAGCTGCCACAAGGGGGTTCATTCGGTAGTTCATTTTTGAAACATCGTTAACCACAGCTGCTATACATTATATGTTCTATCTGCATACACTTACACGCACCAGGAGTACTCTGATCAGTGCCACGGTCACGTTGAGTTATTAAGAATCAGTGTTTCCCAAAGTGAGGGGCGGGGCCCCCCTTGGAGGTCGCAGTATTGTCGCACATGGGGCACAGCTGGTCAGCTTGACTTTTTTTTTTAAGCATTGGGAAAAATTAAGTGATACATAATGAATTTTCCTTACTTCTGCTGAGATTAATAAAGTAGACGTTTTGATCATTTTGGTCACATAGATAAATAGCTAGCTAGATTAATAGATGATAGATAGATAGATGGATAGATAGATAGATAGATAGATAGATAGATAGATAGATAGATAGATAGATAGATAGATAGATAGATAACAATCATGTGACAAATCAAACTCTTAAATCTTGCCAAAAGTTAATTGTGAAATCTTAATATTCCCAGGCTCGTGGCAGGAGGCTGATGAAATGTCTATTTGCCACAGGGCAAATGCTGTTGTTTTGATTTACAAACGCAATTTGCTTCCAGCAACAAAACTTTGTCTTTGGTAGGAAATGTATTTATTCTGCTAACAATTTCCCTTTTTCTGTTTTGATAATCACAAAGCTTCTCATCATACTGATAAAAAAAAAATAAAAAAAAGTGGCGCACGTCATGCAGCGTCCTCAGGCTCTGGGCTGATGTAATGTACTGGGATTTGCCCAAATCCAGTCGTTGCCTGGCAGAACGAGGAAACCTCTGCAGGAATCTGGAACTGAAACAGTTTGTCCCAGTGTGAAACATTATGCTGTCGTTTTTCCTGCCTGTCAGCGTCCTCCTCCTCCTTCAGATGCATCATGTTCTGGCTTCTCCTTTTATCACCTCCATCACAGCTCCTCATCATTTGTCATTTTTGATCTTTGGCTGTCTGTTTAGATGGACTAACTTTACTGTGCGGCGTTTTTAACAAGGACAGGACCGAAGTCCAGCCCTTGACTTTATTGTGCCACTGAGACAAGGTTGACATCACCTCCAACATCTTTACTGAAATATATGAAATATTTACAGCCTGGGTGGAAAATTCAAAAATTCAAGTATCCAAGGGCATTGTTTTTTTGTTTTTTATTATTCTCATTATTTAGTATTGAATTTTAACTGAGACTGACTTTATTAATTGAGAAAAAATATTTTTGACATCTAGGCAACGGCTAGGTTCACGGGCCAAAAGTAGCCCCCGAGCCAAGTGTTTGAGTCTCCGATTAACCTAATCCCCATGACATGACCCAACTAATACAATGTAGAGAACATACCATAGAGCAACCATAGAGCAACATACCATAGAGCAAATACCATACAAAAAGAGCGGGTATCAAATGGGGGAACCAGTTCAGATGGCCAAGGCCAATTGAAAGGGAGTCGGGTTCAGATCCCTGTGGAACTGTAGCAACAGAAGCTGCAAGTGCGATAAAGCATGTTTTTCTTTAGCCTTATTCATGAAATTACACTGACATGGGGAATGTGAATGTTACTTTTTCTACTTACATACATTTAAGCCATAGTTTGCTATGACTTAACCAGTATTGAAAAGCAATTATTTTACAGCGAAACGTATTTACTTTCAGTGGATATATGTGCCACAAATTAACAATTATTTGAACTTTCCTGATCCCACAGTAGGAAAAATCCTTATGTTGTCAAGAGATCTGCTGCAACAGGCTGCCCCTAGGAGGCGCCGCATATGTAATTCCTCTGGGACCTGCTAACAAAGTAGCAGGTTTAAGTACATCATCGTATTAATTATAATTCCCTTATTATAAGGAAAAATGTTAGCTTATAGACACGGGTTCAAAAGTTCATCTTTACCCTGACAGGAAGATACAGTATCACTGTATCTTCCTTTTCACAGTCGACACCTCCGTCCAGTGTTTTTGTGTTTCTGTTACTCGGTGTTTTTACCCGACAGATTTCTTTTTTCATTAATTCCAGCCACACTCGCTTTCAATTTCTTCAGTGTCTCTACTCTGCAACCCTGTTGCACCGTACGGTGTTGTTTTGTTTTTCCCCTTTTGTTTGCCCGCCGACGTCCCTCTGTACTAGCTGCATCCCTGCCTTTTTGCTCCCCCCCCTTTTCCTTTTTTCCAGATCTCCCCTGGGTTCTCTGGTGAAGGAAAGTGTTTTGTCCTTCAAATCCAATTCCTGTCGCGGGGCCTCGTACATGATGTAAGCTTTGTCATCTGCGGTGCTCATGCATCTGGTAACATTTGTAAACAGACACCTCTCTTTGTGGGTTTAACTCTCAGTTCTTTTTTTCTACTTCACTTTTTCCTAACTCGCAGTATGTGTTACTTTGGTGATTTAGCCGCAGTATTGCTTTTCTGCATAGTACACCCTTATCCCATACGTGGGCCCTTCATGGGACTGCTGCTGTAGCAACATGTAGCAGTATACCACATGCTACTGTAGCAACATGTAGCAGTATACCACATGTGTTATGTCATTGATGAGCGCTATATTGACTAGCGATATATAAGACAAATATTAATGGATAATAATAATAACATGTTTACTTGGCCAGCATATACATTATACTGTATATACTGTCAATTCTGTTGTAACTTTTCTAAAGGCCTAATGTAAAGAGAGAATATTAGTGCGGTTGCCACTTAAACGATTCCAAGCACAACCCTCTGAAAATACAGTAATAAATATAATGTAATGTAATAATAACACAACAGTGAAGTGGTGAGATTGTGTGTCCTGGTGTAAACCCGGCAGTAACTAGCTCATTTGTTTGTTTGTTTGTTTGTTTTCTGCACTGGATCCAAACATGGAAGGTGCCTGCTGCTGCTGCCCATTGTGTTATCAGGGGAACATTAAAATCCAATTAGCAAAGTTGTGTTGAAGCCTCGAACTTCGAAACTGCTGTACATCACTGAAACGGTGAATATAGACTCGGTTACTTCAAATTGGAAAATGGTTTGGAGGAAAATGAAAAACAAAAAAAAATGTTTTTCATTTTTTTGAGATGTTTGCTTTTCCTATTCTCACTCATGCTGCCCTTAGGGTAACAACGTTGTTTTTATGTTTTGAACAAGGGCAAATTAAATAACACCTCAGGGTCGTCTGCTCCCCCTGTGATAGGACTGACGATGTTATGTGGAACACAACAATGCTGTGTTTCAACTTCACGTGTTTCATCAATAACAGCAGTTTTCATTTAGTTGGTTATAATATTTAGCCAAAGCTAGCCAGTTAGCAAAATTACAGCTTAAGTTAGAATAAACAATCCAAGATGATTAATGCATAGATATACAAAAATATTAACATATGTTTATTAACAAAAAATAAAAAAATAAAAATTCTATTAAAACTACGATTAGCCCTTTTTAAAAGGGAAATGCTAATGATAGCAAAACCTGTTTAAAGTCAAATTAGGCTCAGAATAACTAGATAGCTTGTAAAAGACCTAATATAGACAGCAAAATGACTTACAAATGAACAGAATCTGACTGAAGCTTATATAGATAATCATTTAAATAAAAAATATATAGCAAAATTCAATTCAAAAAGTTAAATTCAAACTTTGCTGGATGATAGAACCAACATTTTAGTAATAAAAAGCTTCAAACCTCAAGTCACATCACGATTTAGATTTGATGAAATATGGCTAGCTACAGAATGTGACACATTTTTAAAAAAACTTCAGTTTGTATTTTTTGATGGCATTAGCATTTACTGAAAATGGGAGTCGCAGCATTGTGTTGACCTTTTAACCTGAGGTCGGGGGTTTGACGACAGCTGCATGCCAATGCAAATAACGGGAAGTCTGCTGCTTGTCACTCCAGTAGAAAGCAGTCAGAATCTTAAACACCAAAAAGGTCCATGAAGCATTTTCAAAAACAAAACCATGTGGAGACGATAACACTGAATTCATACAGGTCTTGGTGTTGTCTCTTTTCACAGAGATATGCGAAACACGGGTAGTATTTTTTGGCCTTAATACAAACAAAAATGTAGAACCGCCACAGTGTCGGAGCTGACAATGATAGATCACAATAATGTGGGTTGTTTCTTCTGTCACCATGGTAGTGTGACCTGAGAATACGACCGTGAAAGTACATCAGTACATCAGAAGAGTCTGACGTACGCTTGGGAGCCATCATGAAGGGCAAACATTTCCCAGAAAACAACGTACAGTCGGCAACGTAAACAAAGCCGTCTTCTGCGTATAGCATCACGTGACTCTGCACGCCAACTAGTTCCTGTTGTTGCTTTAACGCCGTATGTCAGAATGATGGAACAAGACTTTCTTAATAAATTTATGGGAGACGGCGACGTAACCGTGAAACGCTGTAAGTCGAGGACGTCGTAAACTGAGGACCTCCTGTATAGGCAAAAAACTAAAAACTACCTTTCCAAAATCTACCTTTCCAAATTTACACCAATGGCCTTGAAGCCTAACATTCCTTCCTGTTTATCTCAGTAAAAAACATCATATAAACGTTATGCTCTGACTGAACGCTACATTAGCAAACCCTCTCCTTTTTTGGAGCCTCCTGCAACCGACAACCTCCACAAAAAGCCCCAGAGATGTGTGAAGATAAAAAACTTTTTTTTTTCTCCCCCCCTCTCTTTTCAGTTCTCTGTCCTCATCCTTTTGCCTTTGCACGCTCATTTCCTCGGTGACTTGCTTTTAGAGAGGCAGTGTGAGTGTTTCAATTACCTTAATCAGAAAAATCCCACGCCGTGAAATCTATATATATAAATGGAGAATTACTGCGGCATAAACATAATCACCCAAATGTCAGCTGCGTTCCCTTCTATTATTCATGTCCTTCAACTCTTTTGCCGCACCGTGGCAACTCTTTCTGGTCAGTTTTTTTTTTTTTTTTTTGTTTTCTTTGTCTCATTTTCTGGATTCTATAGTGTCTTCGCAGCCACTGGGCTCTCTGTCTTTGTGACCTACTCAAACTTTCCGGGAGGTTCTTCTAGTGTCACTGCCTTCCACAGTCTGCTCTCTGCCCTGAAGTCACGCTCAAGGAAGCGCTGGAGGGAACTGGAGGCCTTTGTATCCTCAGGGTTTCTTCTTGGCACATTCAGACATTCAATAACTTCTACTGTTCCAAATCCTTGCAGCTAGAAAAACTGTATAAAAAAAAAAAAAAATCCTCTTTAAACACATGTGACACCAGCTGAGCACCACCGTTTTATTTTTCCACGCCACTTTTATTAGGACTTCTTTGAAATCTTAAAACACCTACACGTCATTCTAGAGAATAAACACGAGTGCAAATATGTAACAAACAGAAAGTTTTTCCTTTTTTTTTTTTTTTTTTAAACACATGCACTTTCACTCTGTTGGTGTAAGGTGTGCTCATTACTTAATGGGCTAATCAGCTATGTTTGTTTACACAGTGTGACTCGATTTAATTAGCGGCTCAAGTACAAACCCTATTTACATATTATATAAATAAATATATATATATATGAGAATTTTTTACTGATTGGTCTGTACCAATATAACTATTTTTTTAGTCCCAGTGACCAATCAAACAGCTCAAAATTTCAGGTTAGCCGTCTACCTACAGACAGGAAAGCTACCAGGATGCCAAGCTGTCAGTGTCCTATCAGATCTGGCATAGGACGCTCAACATGTTTATGTTTCATTTTTGGAAAACATGAACCAAAACTGATAGTCATGCCTGTAACACACTGTTAAGTTGCATCCTAAGTTCCAGTTCTTTAATACAGGAACACAATCTCCCAGACCAACAGCCCGGGCTGTGGCTGTGTCAAATTTAAACCAAACCTGAACATCGGTAGTTTCAGGTCGTGGCCGATGAGTATGGCGGGCTTTTTTGGAGTTCAGTTTTAGATCTATGACAAGTACAAGTATAAGTCGGCCATTTTGGTTTGTTTTTTTCCGAGTGCACTTACAAGTATGGTTTAAAAGACATTTGTTTATACTCAGGGGAGAAGCCAGATGATTTTATTTTCCTTTTTTAATACATTATTTATTATTTAACCTGAAAGTGGAGGCAAAGACTGTGTTCATCTGAGTGTGATTTGCAGCACACCACTCGTTCCTACCTGCCATATGTCATTCTACCTGACTGCTCACCAGCCGCTTAAAAGCCTGTACGCTTACATCATCATTCCACTGTGATGAGCTCTCTGCCAGAATGGACTGAGACATCTGATTTAGACGGGGAAACGCTGCAGACAGTAACCTAAACTCCGACTCATTAGCCGAGGTATTTGATCCAATGGATACCGATTACCTTCTTCCCTAAAGAAACAGCTGAGTTATTTTCAGCAAGTACTCAGATGGGTTGTACTAGTTACTCACTGTATCTGACAAAAGTATAAGAAAAAAAAATATTTGAGGGAGAGCTGTAGTTGAACTGTTTGGAGATAGAGGTGGAGAAGAAAGGTTGAGAGGGTTTTGACATTTGCTGTGCAGGAGTCGAACATGAAGAACCCCAGAGAAGATTTGCGAGTGTAGTAACGCCTTACAACATTGTTGGAAAAGGGGTGAGAAGGGGGGGGGGAGGGGGGGGGTGATGTACTGTGAGGATACCTATAAAAGCAGAACACACTGTGTTTGTTTTATTAAACACTCCTTTTACATATCAGTTTTACAGTGTAATCAATTAAAACAGAGCGCCGTCAAAGCCCCGCAACGTGCGTGTTGACACAAACCACTCTCAATCTTAATGGCCACCAATTTACTGGCTCTCAGCTCATGTCGTCCAAGTCGATAAATAACCTCGGAATTAACTCTCTCGGCTAACGATGGGCTTTGAATATCTCTCTGACGATGGGCTAATATTGACGCCGGCCTTAGGCCATAAATGTTACAATTACAAATGAAATGTTGCGAGACAACAGCGTGTAAGGACAGTAAATTCTTGATGAGAGTCCAGGGTTTGTGTTGGGCTAGTATCTGAGTACTACATACCGGAGGAGTTTGGACTGGTCACAGCCTTCCGTACCGCCTTAATTGAAGAGGAACCAATAAACTAGCTTCGGACAGTTTTCATATCGGAAAGGTTTTTTGAGAAAATTTAAAGAGATTTCAATGAAATTTGTTTTGTTTATATCAGTGATGATGTTGTCTTCATGCAAGCCATTTAAATCAGAACCACAACGGCGACTCATGTTGTCTTCATGCAAGCAATTTAAATCAGAACCACAACGGCGACTCTGTCCGTCTTCCTTGATAGACATGTATAAACGTAATTTAATTTTTCGTTTGGGTTTTACAAAAGATATCAGCGGTATTTCTTTCCAACCGTTATATCCAAATACATTTTATTGGAAGGAAAATAAAAACTGGAAGGAATATAAAGTTGTAGAAAGAATTAGTGTCAAACCGTGAAAAAGTAAAGGACCTGATATTGAACCATGTGGCACATCTTTGGGAATAGTGACAAAGTAATATTTATGTGCTGTGCTTCTGCCAAATAGGACATTACTGAGGATACTTTACTGAATTTTTCTGCTATAAGAATTAACTAGACGAATGTATTTATCAAATAATATACCACTTTTGTGTTTTTGCGACCCCTTTCTGTCCAAAATCCTAGACCAAAGCTTTGCCTTTGGTCTGTAGGTAAGATAATCTGGCTTGTTACCTGAGGATGCCAGGTTTGAATCCTGCCCCGGCTGTTGCACGTCTTTGTCTCGTGGCTATTGTTACCGTAGATAAACCTGCACCTGTAACCTCAGTGTGACCCGCGTGTAATTGTGCTACCAATAAAAAGTGACCCCCGTGATGTCAATAGCGGTCTACACTTGAATAACGACACGATGATCTGTCGAGGAACATTCAGGCTGACACCGTCTCCACTGAAGTGGCCATAAGGAACAGACAGCTCCATGCCTTTAACAGCTGATTCAGGCCTGACTTCTGCAAGTGAACACTCCACTTCTTTTTCTGTCCCTTTTATATGAAGCGTAGCTGCCAGCTGTGTACAGTGCAGTATGTCAGGAAGGGTTCTATGTAAGCAACTGAACTTTTTCTTCATCTTGACAGGTTCCCTTAACATCAATGTACTGCGGAGGCTCAGGGGAGACAGGACCTGTAGGACCGTCCTGTCATTTGACTGTGTCAGCGCTCGAGTTGGTATAGCTTATCTGTCAAGCGCTGAGGTAAAAATCTATTTTTTAACAAAACTTCAAACGACGTCTAAGTCTTCTTCTCCCTGTGCTTTAAATTCTACCTGTAAAAGGTTGATCGCACTAACCTAACAAACGGACTGGAGCCTATCCTAGAGTTTATCAAGCGAAGGCTGGACAGTTCACCAGTTCATTATATGAACTGACAAACAACCATTAAGACTCACTTTCAAACCTACGGTCAATTATGGTGCCCATTAACTTTAATTAAAAACTAATAACATACGGTTACCCATCTGCCATTTCTCTGGGCCCGTGGGGGGTCACGCCCCCCATTTTGGCAACCACTGCTGTAGAGCAAACATCCCTTCCATCGTTTTATTTCAAATTGATGTTGTTGTATCGCTGTTCTGCAATTCCTTCCTATGACACTTTTACCGTATTTTCCGGACTATAAGTCCCTCCTGTGCCCTCTAGCAGCTGCCAGTGTGAAAATAACAAATATATATTATATATATTTATATTATATTACATATTTATATTATATATTGCCCAAGTTTAAGTCGCACCAGCCAAAAAATTGCATAATGAAGAAAAAAAAAACATATATAGGTGGCTCTGGCGTATAAGTCACACTAGTGACTTCTAGTGGCTGTCAGTGAAATAACAAATATAACATTTTCAGTGGCACAGGACTAGCAGACACTACTTCACAAGCCCTTTTGCGGCTATCAGTGTGAAAGCAACACATGTGAAATTATACATTTTAATATATGAGTCGCACCTCAGTATAAGTCGCAAACCTAGCTAAAGGATGGGAAAAAAGTGCGAATTATTGTCCGGAAAACACTGTAATGGCAAAGTCCTGGATATTGGCGCATGCAGGCATCTGTGTGAGAAGTCAACACTGTCACAGCCAAGGTAGATGGGTCGAGCAAGAAGCACATCCAGTGCAAAACTGAACCCAAATAAAATCCGGAGATGTTTTGCCGCGTCTCACACCTTCCCCGCGTTTCCATTAAATCTCCGCCTGAAGTACGAAAAGAAAAGACAGCCAGACAACAGCTCTATCAACAAAAGCAGGCAGTAGGAGGAGGTGTAAATAGAAAACTGCGACAAGAGTAAGGGAAATGTTTTCCTTAAGAGGCTCATAGTCAGTGCATGTTACAGACTATTAAACATCCTCCCAGTCAGCGGCGTTCATAGGACGACTCTGTGCTCTGTGGATCTGTGGAGGCAGCTGGGAGAAACAAACTGAAGCCTGAGTCTGAGTCTGAGGGTGGACAGCCTGGAGGCAGTGACAGAAAGAGAAGACCAGGGTCTAAACTGAATCTTAGACAACACCTGGTGAGCTTATGCTGTTACAGCACCTTTAGCCTCTGGCTCCTGCCCCCCCACCCAGTGTTCTTCACGGAACACTTAAGGACTCCCTGTCATCACTCTTTGGTGTAATGTTTGGCTGTGCTTCAAAGTTGGCTCGAAGTTTAGTGAGAAAATCCATGAAGTGTTCGATCATAAGGACACAACACTGGGTTTGTTTTGGATTTTCTTCATCTTTTTACAAAGGCAGGAAAACAATATTTTATATCATTACAACAACTGTTATCTTGGTCAGAACCACTGGAGACAGTGCTAGCAGAGTACCGTCCACCTCGGCCCATTTCTCCGCCACTCGCACATGCTAACAGTCAGAGTTATGGTGTCAAGTTAACGTAATGCTAATCTGCATGTTTTTTTACTTTGCAAGCTAAAGCTAAAGCTAATGACATCAATAAATATCCTAAAATTCAGCATAGATGCCAATTAATAAACACGGTGAACACTTTTCTAGTTGAACATTAATTTGTAAATTTTTGAGCATTTTTATTCAATATTTTTCTATTGCTTATTTACATTGTTATAGAGTAAATGCTTGGTTCATTTTTTTTTGTTAAATTTAACATAATATTATTATGAAATAAATGTATTTTTAAATTTAACGCTGGACTTTACATCGTATTACAGTAAAATTTGTGTACATTAGAATTTGCAAAATATTCATAAATATTTTTAATTAAAAAAAAAACATTAGAAAAATTGGTTATGTTATGTGGTTCCATAGTGTAGCACTTGGCACGCTTAGCTTTTTGCAGCAGATCTGCTGGTTATACAAGAATGGGGGTGGGATCAATAAAGTAAAAAAAAAAAAAAAAAAAACATTTTCCCCTTAATAAAACTGAATTTATATATTTATTTAAAATCCTTTTTCATATTTTACACTTTGTTATATATTGTTATGTATATTTGGAAACCAACATTGAGCACCAGTGTCTCACCGCATGGTTTCCCCTGTATTTCTGTGCATGTCACAAGCATATAAAATTCAATATATCAATATATAATTCAATATATCATAAATAATAATTATATTTCTTACACATAAAATCATCAATGTGGCAGAAGGTTTGCCAAACACGAGAAGTTGGAGGTAGTGGACAGAGCTGTCTTATTGTGTAATGGTGCATGTGTTTGGAGTGCATTAGGTCCACGTCCGGCAAAAATCAATTACGCCATGATAATGGTTCATCATCGAGGGTAGAAGGAGACGGCGGCAACGGCAGAGTCTCCATCATGGAACGCCAACGACACTAATGGGGACAATGATAATCTTCAAATGAAGCCATTTAGATGTTGCTGTTATTGTCACGCCTCACTCGTTTACTGGGGTTGGGTTTTTTTTTCTCTGCAGGAAACAGTTGTTCATCCAGAGGAGGCGGATAAAACGTTGTTGACCGCAACACGCCGTGCCCATAAAGTCCTATCTGGCCCGACAGTTTGACAGTTAAATAGAAGGAGATGACAGCTGCTCACAAGAGCTCAAGCTGGGAGGTTGTGGCTGCAGTAAAGTTGATGGGATTACCTGAGGGATTAGGAACTGTAAGTACAATAACAAAACGTCTTGACTAGGACACAATTACTCTGCCATGTTTGAGACGAGCTGATAAAAGCAGCCAATGTGGCAACCGGGCCCTGAGTCACGGTTGTGCTTCTGTAGGCTGATCGGTGGGAGAAGCGACACAAAACCTATTTTATCTTTACTTTGAATCACATACAGTAGCGCTCACAGAATAAAATAATAATGGATTCATCTCGCTCAGCTTTGATTACTTATTTATATTCAATTCTGCTTCTATACTGTTGTTTGAACTGTCAGTCCCAAACTTCTAAACGGACAGTTGGGTAACAGCCAATCTGGAGCCACCAAAGCTAAACACTTTAAATTAAATTTGAAATAAGACACGCGGCGGTATTCGTTTCTTATGTCGCTCTCTATCTCTAGCCTGTTGAGTTCCTTTTTATTGTGAATCTTTTTTGACAGGCCAACAACAGAACAAACCAAAAATGTATGTGCTATAATATCCTGCATACATCACTAATACTACAAACCCTGGCAGTATATAGAGGCTGTATAATGGCAGGCCAATTAATAAACTAATACACATTTGATATGATCTTGTGGGCCGAATATAATTACAGCACGGGCCAAATTTGGCCCACGGGCCTGAGTTTGACGGTTCTAGAACATGATTGTCGTTTTCTCTAAATTAACAGTTGTTTCTCTAAATTAGACAATCGTTCTAGAACATGATTGTCCTTTTCTCTAAATTAAACAGTTGTTTCTCTAAATTAGACAATCGTTTTCCAAGCGATTTCAGAGAAGGTAGAATTTCTTTTATTGATTAATTACAGCTGTCTATATGTATGTACACTGACAGTAGTCCAGTCTATACGAGTCATATCTAGTCTAGTCTTTCTAGTCTAATCTGGTCAAGTCATATCTAGTCTGTTCTAGTTCTAGTTCTATACTAAATAGATAACTATTGCAACAATATTCTATAAATGCTCAACTTTAGAGTTCAGGGAAAACATCAGTCATATCAAATTGCTTCTTGCATTTTTAGGGGAACTGCTGTTGGTGGGATTCCTGTTAAAAGAGCTAATATATAATATATAAAATATATAAATATATTTCTTTTACTGTTCCCACCTAACCCTT